TTTTAGGCAATGCTGGAAAATGGAACCAGGGAGGCCCAGCAAGTGGCGTGGTGGTTAAGGTACTGGACTCCCACATGGCTGATCATGGTTTGAGTCCTGGACCTGGTGGATTGATTGAAGGTCATTCCAGGCACATGTACATGTGTGTCTAAAAACCCCGGAGGAGAATGGAGATGAAGGAATTGTGGCATGGCCGCCCACCCCAGGGACTGATTTCTTACTTTCCCTCTCACTGTCATGCTCCCGTGAGCACATGTGCCCTTTGACAAAAACCATAAAAAAGAAAAAAGAGCCCAGAAGACCAGAAGTCTTAGCCCAGTTTCCTCCCGTCTCCTACCACAGTCCTGTCTTGTCCTGAATCAGAGCTAATAATTTTGGGATGTGCTCTTCAACATCTCCCAGAAAACAGGGAAAGTCAGAGGGAGGCTTGGGGCTTTTGGTTTTTCCTCTCCTTTTAAAAATAATCCACCATTTACGAGATGGTCCCTGAGTACTTGCAGGGTTCTTCCTCTAGCGGCCCCAACGCCAGCCTGCAATGCAGGGCTCCTTAAATATTGAACAACTCTGCTGTTCCACCAGCTGCCAGCGGCCCCGGTGAGGTAATGTTGATATTGACAAAGGCTTAATGTGATTAATCAGGTTAAAAAGATCAGGTAGCAGAGCTGGTTTGATAAAAGACCTTCGCATTCCTCCCTATCACCCAAACCCCTGGTGTCTCCACGCTTTCTTCTCGCTCTCCCCTCCCCTTTCAAGGTTTAAGGATTTTTTTTCTTGGCGACTGTCACTGTTTAACTGTCGCCAGGTTAGTTAGAGTAGCCTGGAGGGGAGGGGGATAGGGTTTCCTGCAAGAAAAAAAGGAGCATGAGAAGGACACTGTTGGTGTTCATTTATCCAGAAAGTATGTATTGGGCACTGACTGCAAGACATGTGCTGTGGAATACCGAGCATTGGGGACAGAGTAACAATAATAAAAAACAGTCAAAAATGCCTGTGCTGATGGGGCTGACATTGCACTGGGGAGGGGGCACAGATGCTGCATGAAATAAAGAACTACAACAGATTATGTACACAGTGCCACAGATTATGCACACAGTGCCACGGATTATGCACACAGTGCCACAGATTATGTATACAGTGCCAAGTGCTGGGGAGGAAAAGAGAGAGGAGGAGGCGGAGCTCTAGGGAAGGTGGTGCAATTTTAAATAAGGTGAACAGAAATGTCAGGCTGGAGGAAAATTCCTTCTAGGAAAATTTAGTTGGCAACGTTTTACCCATCCACGCATGCCTAATTTTTCTCCTTCCATGAGGCCCAGTGGAAACCTTCGTGCAGGTCAGATTTGAGTTTGGAAACCACTAGCCTAAGTGCACGACCTTCAAGAGGCTCTCCGAGTTACGAAGGGCTGAAGATCTGAGAAGGAGGTTATATCAGTGGCTTGGAAACAATAAACGAGGGTGACAGTGTCCTGAGACTCTGCCAGAGTTTCAAGAACCCTCTGAGATATCTGCTATTATTATTATTATTATTATTATTTTGGAGAGGTTTTTGCTATGAGGCACGTGCGCTTGCCAGACAGACAGAGAGAGACATAGAGACAGAAAGAGAGAAATCACCCCCTCGGGGGGATTGCCACGCCACAATCCCTTCTCCTCCATTCTCCTCTCAGGATCTTGGGCACACACACACACGTGCCTGGCGTGAGTTTTAAGCCACCAGGTCCGGGACGCGAACCGCAGTCGACTATGTGGGAGTCCAGCGACATAGCCATTACGCTAACTGCTGGTCCCAGGTATCTGCTATGACTAACAGCAGCCTCATTCCACAGCTTTACCCCAGCCGTCTGGGACTGCTGTTAGGCTGCCGGACCTGCCATGCCTTAGGGCTTCATGGCTTGGCCATTGTCACCCTTGAGACTGAGTCTGATGCTAGCCCTACCTCACCTGTGGTCTGAGGACATTGGTTCACCTTTATGAGGCTTAATTCCTTCACCTGACAGTGGAGGTCGTAATTCCAACCCTCCCCTCCCAATGGTTGTGAAATAACATCGACTCTAGAAGTAACTTTTAAAAATCCATTTAAGTCCTATACAAAAATAAACAGCTAACACTTTCTTGTTTACCACATACCAGGCATTGTTCTGAGTGCTTTATCTCATTTATATACACAGATTATGTACACAGTGCCACAGATTATGCACACAGTGCCACAGATTATGTACACAGTGCCAAGCGCTGGGGAGGAAAAGAGAGAGGAGGAGGCGGAGCTCTAGGGAGGGTGGTGCAATTTTAAATAAGGTGAACAGAAATGTCAGGCTGGAGGAAAATTCCTTCTAGGAAAATTTAGTTTGCTAAATTTTATTTATTATTTATTTTAGTTTGCTACAATGTTCATGTGCTCACCAGAGAGAGGCAGAGAAGAGGAAAGAAAGTGCCTCCCTCCCCAGGGGGGATGGCTATACTGCAACCTCTTCTCCTCCATTCATTTCTCGGGATTTGGGGCACGCATGTACACATGCTGGGCATGCAACTTGAACTAGAAAGCCAGCCATGTAGCATCCAGCCACCTTAACCTTCATGCCACCTGCTGGCCCCCCGAGTGCCAAAGGTGACACACCCAGTGGGTAGTAGAGTCGGGATTCAAACCCAGAGAGACCTGGACCAGACCCCACTGACTTGGCCATCACATCGCCTCCTCCCTCCACGTACCACGGGGTCTGACATCATGAGCTGGCACTCGTGTTGGTGGAGCAAGGACATAAAGGAGAGACAGTGAGCGTCTGTCTGCGCCTCTGGAACAGCCACCACGTCTCTGTTCAAATGGGTCTCCACATCCTGGACCCCAGACAGCCAGCGCAGGGGAAAATCTCAGAAATACTCTGTGTTGCCGAGAAAAAACTGAAATGGTTTAAGCAAAGGGGTATAAAACAGAATGTAACCAATCAGAAGCAAAAGGCTAGCTGCACGTCTTGCGAGGTAGATAGCTCTTTAAAGCAGTGTGAGTGCAAAGAGCGAGGAACTGTGAGACGCACCACACGAGGACACTTGCACGCCCTGAGAGACGTGTCAGACCACCTCTAAATAAGAGAGCTGCCCGTTAGCGGGGTAGGAGGTGGAGCAGAGAATGGGGATAAAAGAGAACAGAGAAGGAAAATCGGAGAGAGCCCTGCCAGGATCAGGGAGGTCGCGCACAGGAAATGAGAGGGAGGGACTCAGCTGTTAGGCGCCTCGCAGCAGAACAGAAATCCTGCTCGTCTCTGAAGTGCGAGAGTCCTCCGTGGGTAACGGAGGGGCGACAAGTGGGGCCAGGTCCCTCGCGTTATGGCCATACGCAAAATCCCACTCCTGCTCAGAGACATTTGTGCACCGTTTATTTTTCCCTCTGGAATTTTCCTCAAAGCCCTTATCTGGTGTTCAAGACCCGGGCCCAGGCCCCTCTGCAGGTAACAGCTAAGCCTGCCTACAGAGGCCTGCCCCAGCCAGAAAACCTTTCCAACAGAAAAAAAAGAGCAACTCGAATCTAAAGAGACGGCAGTGGGGCTTGCCTAGAAGGCAAGTTTGGTACAGTCACATGCACATCGCAGCATCCTGTTCCACTCGAGGGGCCTGAACCCTGCCCTGAACGGTGTCGCATCCTGCCTTTGTCCTTGGGTCATGTCCAGTGCGGTGGATTGATTCCCCTGGGGCTGGTCTAGCCAGCTCCGGAACCGCAGAGGGGAAGCTGCAGACGCCAGGCGATATGGTCTTCCATCACGTCCAGCAGCCTTTCCCACAAGCCCCCTTTGGGACAAAGACTTGGCCAGACACCCCAGCTGGACACCGCTGCAGCGGCCACTTCCAGACGCTCCCTTCCCCAAGCGGAGGCATCTTGCTTCACACTGATGGATGAACCCAGCCGCTACTTACGGGGCTGAAAACCTCAGGCTGCCTCCTTGTCTCCTGGGGGGGTAGACCTTGCTTTTAGCCCGCACCAAATGAATGCGCAGTAACGGAGCTCCCAGAAGGGTCCTTAGGTCAGCACACACGGTGGGTCTCGCCTCATAACCCCATTGGCCCCAGAGAGAGTCCAGGCCCTTCTCCCGTCCCCAGGATCACAAGCGCTGAGCCACTGCCAAGAACAGGAGTGGGCTCGGACTCCTGCCTCCCCCACCCATCAGTAAGAACTAGCCACGTTATCCACACTACTGCCAAACACCCACATCTGCCGCCTCCCACGGCCTAGCCCTACCCCATTGTGGGCGCCACTCTGGTCCCCCAGTGTCTGCCTCACCTCTTACAGTCCATTCTGCACCCAGAGACCAAGGCTACCATTGCCAGCTTTGTAAATGGGCTCATGCCACTCTCCCACTTAAACCCTTCTCCCCCAAACAAGGTAAAGCCCAGGCTCCCGGCCACTTAGGAAGGCCCGCGTGGCACAGCCCCTCTCCCCCTTCACCTTCTCCCTTTGCCCCCACAGCTTCACACCAGCCTTCTTGCAGTTCCCTGCAGAGCCCAGAGCTGCCTTCGCTTTTGCACTCATGGCCCTCCCCCTCCCAAGTCTGGATTATCTTCCCAGAGGTCTGTGTGTGGCCGGCTCCTTCTAGAAACTCAGCCCTCAACCCAGACATTGCCATCTCTGAAGCTCTGCTGGCTGCTCTATAACCAACTTAGCTTCCCTGCCTGCCACTTGTCACTCTCTGACACTTCGTCCCCTCTACCTCCGTCCTGACACTTAACACAGTCCGAGATGCCCTTGTTTATGTGTTTGCCTGATCACTGTCTTTGCCACACACTGGACCCGGGTCACAGAGGGCAGGGGCCCTGTCTCACTGTGCAGAGTCTCCAGTGCCCACTAGCATCCAGCACCGACAGCATACAATACATATTTGGGAGGGAAGGGAGAAGAGGGGGACAGAGTTTGCAAAGAGCAGTGGTTCTCAGAGTGTGGTCCCCAGACCAGCAGCCTCAGAATCACAGACTCTGGACTCTATCCTGCCACACAGAAATGGAAGCTCTGTGTTCGGGCCAGTCCAGCAGTGGATCCCAGGGGAACCTTTGCATAGATCCTGCTGTGATCTCTCCCAGACCCCCCTGGTGACAAGTGCACAACTAACTAGCTGGGAGGTCAGTCTTGTAGGGATGGGGTTTGGGTAAGGTGGAGGGAGTCAGCACCCTGCCCTGGCTGGCCCCGAGGCTCTGACAGACAGGCTGTGGGTGCCCCAGTAGTTCGCACAGAGGATGCCAGGGCTGGGGAGGGCTTGGAGACCATGTGTGCCTTCCCTGAGCAGGAGACAGGCCGCTCCCCCAGAAGCTGTCTTTGGCCTTCTGAAAGCTACAAAGTTCCATCCCTTTGGCTTAGAGGTAAGGTGGCCAACTCGTCCCCGTGTGCCCAAGCCATTCCCAGTTTTAACACACAAGTCCTGCATCCCAGGGATCACTCTGGTCCCAGGCACACCAGAATGGTTGTCGCCCTACCTGGAGGCCTCACCACACAGGCTCCAGGGGACTCAGACACACATCCCTCCACCAGTCCTCTCTGTGTCTGTCCTGGATGAAGCTAAGCTGGGACGGGGTGAGCAGAGGAGGGGGACAGAGAGCGGGAGAAAAGGAAATGGGGGGAAGCCAGCGCAGAGGAGAGAGGAAAAGAGGGGAGAAGGAAAAAGAAGAGAACTGTTTAGAAAGTAGGGAAAATGGGAAAAGGGACAGGGACAGCGGCAAGGACAGAGAAAGACTCCAAAACACAGCACCACGGTGACAGAGGGAAAAACAGACAGGTGGGGGTCAGGGAGGACGGATCGGAACAGGCTGGACCATGCGTCTACTTCTGGCAGTGTCTGATCTGCAGGGAGGGCCTCCGGATAAACTTCGAGAAATCGTCTCTCAGCAGCCCAGAATGCCACCCCGCCATCAGTGGCTGGCACAGACCTGCTTACATAACATTTGTCATTGTGTAGGTGCATTAAAGAGGAAGGAAAGGAAAGAACGCGAGGAAAAGGAGTGGAAGAAAAGGCGGCTGAATGAACCTACTCAGATTACGCTGAGGGACGAGGAGAGATCCCCTCCACCTCCCCCAACCCAGCATCATCACGGTGCTGTCAGACGTGTTTCCAGCGTGGATGGAGGGGGGGGTGGGCAAACCCCAGCTTCCTAAGGCATGGCATCTGGCTTGTGAGCTGGACTGAAGAAGAGGCTGGAAGATACTGTTCAATGCGCTTCAAGTGTGCAATGTATCGTCAAACCGAATGACGGGAAGATAGTTATTTCGAGGAAACCACGGTGACTTATCGTAGAGTGGCCTGTGGCCTTGGCTCTACCGCGTCCCCACTTCCCTGGCCCGAGTAGGGAGGAGAGTTGACCTTAGGAGGACCGCCAGGCTAGAGGGCTGATCATCGCTGCCTTACCCATGGGCTGGCCGATGGCCTAAGTCCTGGAGTCTCTGAGGGTTGGGGATGTAGACAACCTGCTGGGTCCAGCTGGGGGTACTGGGGGACTCAGGAGCAGAAAGACAATGGGGGAGGAAGGTGAGCCTGGATCTCGCCCTGCTCAGCCCCTTGGGGACCACAGAGGGATCCTGGCTAAAGTCCCAGGCTCACCACACACCTAGAACTGTTACAGTTCACTCCCGCAAAAGCATTGTGCACTTCCAAAGAAAGCCTTTCCTTGGTGCAGTGAGGGCTTCTGAAAACACACGGCCCCAGGTCCTGGGTTCAGAGTTTCTGGTGCAGCAAGTGTGAGGGAGTACCCAAGACTTGGGCCTTCTAAGTTCCCACAGGTATGTTGTGGGGTGGGTTCGGAGAACCACTGAGTTAGGTGAAGCATGGGTCCAGGCCACTCAGAGTCCCTGAGAACCCAGAGCACCCTATGCCCAGGGGAATGAGAACTGCCGAGGTTACCTCTTTCTCTGCCCTTTGCCCCCTCTTCTTCCGGCAAGCCCAGGGTCATAGCATCACTCTCCATTCCACAGAAACAAAACCCGCCTCCCTTTTAGCACAGGATCTTACAAATCCTTCTCATTAAAGCACAAGGCTGGCTGCATTAACAAGCCCTAACGCATCTGCCCTTTAACCCAACAGAGCCCTCAGGCAAAGAATAAAACTTTCATGAGGGAAGTGGGGCTATTAGTGAACTGAGTGTCCAGCAAGGGGGACTAAGGAAGCCCTCGCCCTCTCGTACCCATCCCCCCCAAGTCACAATAAGCAGGGATTCGCTGACATTATCTAAGTTTCCAAGAGGATTGTGCTATTGTCACTGTTGTATTCTCAACACCCACACGAGGCATACCGTAGGCACTAAATAAATGTGCAGGGCATGAATGAGTGACCATGAACACCGGCAGGAGTGAGAAGCCCATCCTTGGCCTGCAGAAGATCTGAGGTGAAGGCCAGGTCCTGCTCAACCCCTCCCCAATGACTCATCAGAATCGACAACACTGAGCACCTACTCCATGCAGGCCTCTGGCCAGAGGCACCTCCCCAGTGACTCATCAACTGGTCGATTCACTGAGATTTCATTCATTCACTCATTCACTCATTCATTCAGCAGGTCATTGCTGACCCAGTGCCTACTGCCTGTCGGGCTCCTGAGGGACCACAGACCAAAGGCTCCTCCCCCACTGACCATCGACTAGGCAACCAACTGAGATTTCATTCATTCATTCATTCGGCCAGTCATTGCTCAGCACCCTCCATGCCTGACCCTGACTCCAAAAATGGAGCTTTGGGTCGTAAGGGTCTTGCCTTGCAGTCCCTCAGCCCCCCCTGTGAGAAGCATCTAGGAGGAGGCAGCGTTTCCCAGAGAAGGGAGGGAAAGCTCAGGTTTCCTAGAGAAAATCCACTGCTCAGAGCTCCTAGGTTGGGATGATTCAGCAAAAACTCCCAGGGATTTGCAGGAACAAAAGACTGAGCAGTCAGTGGGGCACCTCCTCCCTCGTGCCCTCCCCTGGGCCCTGCCCACCAGACTCCTGCCTGCCCTCCCACTTGCTGGAGCCTCACAAGCCTGAGGGGGAGGGGCTCATGGTGCCCATTGCTCAGACACAGAAAGTGAGGTCCGGGGATCTCTGGCAACTGTTCACGAACCACAGCAGGGACTAAGTGGTACCAAAAGTTCTCCTCCAAGCCTCAGCCCCTTTCCTCCACTCCACTCGCTCAGAGGATTCACCTCGCTTCTATCTTGCCCCAATCTTGTTTATGCCAGGGGTGCTCTCACTGTCCCCGCCATGAACGCCACCCCCGTGGCTGACATTCGCTGGACCTCGCTCCTTGTGGGCTCAGGGCCAAGCACATCACAAGCATTAACTCCTCACACATTCTCCCACCTTCTTCACTGCCTCCTTTCTACGGATGGGAAAACTGAGGTCCACACAATTAGGAAATGCTCAAAGCAGGGTCTAAGTCCAGGGATCTATTTCCAGAGCTCTCGATCTGAATCACTGCATGGTACCACCCTACTACACCTGACTGAAGAAAACGAGGCTCAGAGAGGTTAAGGGTTTTGCCTGAAGTCACACAGCAAGGGAGCCTTGGAGTTCCACTGTAGCCCCTGGAGGCTCAAACACTAATGGGGAACAGGAAGGAGGGGCTATTTCTGCAGTGCCTCCTTCACTCTCTCAGAATGCCAAGGCTCTCCTTCCTGGGTGGCAGCTGAATAATTTCAACTCATCGGCTCCAGCCCACCACCACTGGGTCCCAGATTTATTTTTATCCCAGGTTACAGCCACAGCTATTAACAGAAATAAACCACGCTGTATTCTTCTCATCGTCGCCTTCACATTGACTCCCGCCTTGTCTGGATTCACCCAGCTCCCCACGTGAAGGGGATGAAGAGCAGAAGACAGGTCCATATGTCGCGGTGGTTTTTATTAGAAAGTCACACACTCGCTGGCCCACACAGAGGGAGGGAAAAGGTTAAATCAAGAATAATACTGCATCCCACAAACAAGCTCCCAGAGCAGCCACCCCAACCAGAACACAGATCCTCACACGAGGCGTCCAATCTGTGTACGGAGCAGCAAGAAAAACAGCAGAGTAAACCGGCGGGACCCACTGCCCAACTTGCCCTTTGGAACTGCAAAAATCTCTGGCCCCTTCCTCCCTCTTGTCAGCAAGAAAGGCGATGTCCCCGTTTGTCTCCATGGCGAATTTCCTGATCACCAGCCCAGCTGAGGGGTGCTGTTAGATGCCCCCCCCCCTGAACCCAGGTTGGCTGGGGCTATGGGGACTGCCCAAGCCTCATTCTTTATGATGTCACGCTGTGTATGACTGTACTGTGTACTGTGTGGTTTTGGCTAAGTTGCTTTCCTGTTCTGGGTCCCCAGGAGGGGAGTTAGACTAGTTCAGAGGCGCTGAATGTGGAGTGTCCAGATGTGAATTAGGGAGGGTCCATGAACCCCATGAAGCTGTGCATTTGTGTTTATGCATCTCTCCAGAGCAGAGGTTCTCAGCGGGGTCCTTCTTTCCACCCCTGAGCAAAGTTTCTACGGGGCCCTCAGGTGCTGCGAAATCTGATGTCTATGCATCTAAGTCCATAAACCCAGCCTAGCACAGGATTCCAGCACCCTAGCAAAGTCCCCATCCCAACAGGCCTCCCCAACCACAGGACAAAGCCATGCTAGCCCGCCCTAGGAATGCGGGCATGCACACTCTCTCATGCACACACACACATGTTTTCTCTCCTGTCACACAGTTACAGAACCTCAGCACTGGAGGGGGCCTGGGGCCACTGAGACCACCTGTAATAGCTGGAGAAACTGAGGCATGGAAAGAGGAGAGCGAGCTAGAGCTGGAACCCAGTTCTCCTAATCCTAGCCCAAAGCTCTTTCCAGAAGCTTCTGTTTCCCTCTCCCTGGTGCACCACAATGCACCACTTCGAATGTGACAGGGAGGAGGGAGGGCAGCGTCTTGGATCTCAGCCACCCCTAAGGAAGTAAGGCAGCAGAGAGAGGGTGAGATGCATCCACATCTGGATTAGCCAGTCCTGGCTTCCTCTGCTGGGCTGGCGTGCACTGCACGGCTGAGCCCATTGGCAAAAATCTGAAAATATTCCTGTACTGGATGGATGGTGACGTTGCCCTGAGGTCCCTGGGCCTCCCTTGATTAACCTCCCCCCCCAAAAAAAAACTTCCCCATAATCCAGCAACTAAAGAGTTAACAGTGCAGCACAGGAACCTTAAGTTTCCCCACTCCAGGGGCCCTGGGCCTGGTCCATCTTCATTAGTTAGTGGCAAAGTTCAATATTTGAAATGTCACCCTTGGCCAAATCTGTGGCTCCGCACTTGAACCAAATTCCCTCACTTTCCTCATTCACACTTAAAGCTTCTGAGGAAGGAAACTAAAGCAACTTCCTCCTCAAGGTCACTCATAAGGAGGTTGGAGGGAAAATGCAGGGATTTTGAAGAGCGAGTCTTTGGCACTAACCATTGAGCAACCCTCCCACTCTGCCTCATCTGTCCTGCGTGAGCAGGCGCAGGCCCCAAGATTTCAGCACTTTCTCTTGGCTCTGGGGCTGGAGAGAATGACTGAGTGGGCCCTGCTTATTTTCAGGCTCAGCAGTCTCCGGGGCTAATGTTTTATTCCTCCCACTTCCAAGAGCAAAAGCCTAAAGAGGAAATCCTTGGGGGTTCGGAAAGCTGAAGTGGCCCTGAGATAATAGCAATGATGCTAAAAATAAGGATATTCATTTCCCGGAAGGTAGATGTAATCAAAGCAGAAAGCAAAGAGAAATCCCCTTTTGATGGGGCACAGATTAGCAGCAAAGGCGTTTTAAAATTAAATGTGAGCTTTTGGATTCAGTTACAAGGAACCTCCACTTCCCACTCCCTAACAGGTTGGTGAAGGCTTACCCCTCCAGGATCTCAGATGGAGGAACTAGGGGAGGGGTCTAGTCTACCCTGGGATACCTCTCAGGAGCCAGGAACCCTTCTTCCCTTTCTTCTTGACTCTGAGAGAGGCTCCAGGATAGTCTCTGAGCTAGTGCCAGGACGCACCCCCCTGCCTCCCTGCAACCACTTACAGGTTACACCACCTGTAAAATCGAACCTCACCTGCTCAGTGGGAGATGGAGGCTCCCATCTGCCCTGGTTGACCACTCATTCCAAGCAAACTGTGGCCCTTTCATGGCTCCCGGGAACGCGAGAACAGTTCCGTTTGCAAAAACCACCACAATCAAATTACTCAGCTCTCCCTGGAAGACGGTCCGATCTAAGCCCTGCCCTGGGCAAGCTTTGCCCAGTGTGCTCAGGCAAGGGTTAACCTTCCAGCCCCAGGTGACCCTCTGCCATCCAGGACCAAGGTGCTCTCCCAATAAGTCAGGACACCCAGAGAAGACCCTCCAAGCCAGACTGGCTGACCCCACAAATGGTTAATTCACCCAGGGAGCTGCTGGCTACTTTCAACAGCTTCTGCTGCAAGGGAGGGGACAATCTGGGCAGAAGCCACAGTCTCGATGGCATTGCCTAAAACACAAGCACATCCCCCCCTCCCCAGGCACTGAGCCGAAATCTCATCGGGCTCTGGGGTGCTGCTTAGCGACAAAACGCTGCAGAAAGTGAGCAAATAAACATAGCTATCCTTTAACACCCCTCTCCTTCCAACTTCCCTCTACCCCACCAACCCACGCACACACAACTGGGACCCCAAGACCCCTAGTCCACTTGCACAACCAAGAACATCACTTACCAAGACACCGGAAGATGGCAGGGGGAACAGCTGAGCAAAATTCTTGCCAACTCCTCCCTCTCTGCCAGTGGCAAGATGCTAAGTCCGGATGACTTGGTTTCAAGGCTCAGTGGAGGTGCCTGAAAGAAAATTGTTCATCAGACTCTCCTA